GTCGGTGCCCGCGGGAGGGTTGCGGCGGGCGGTGGCAGGCGGACGGGCTGCTCATGCGAACACGGTGCAGAGGGCGTTAAAAGGAACAGAAAGCAGCAGCAAAGCGCTCGGCAGGGTCGGAAGAGGGATCTGGGATTTGTTTCCCCTCCATGGAGGTGCCCGCGGATGCTCAGGGTGGGCAGAACACCCCGAGTGACTGAACCGGACAGCGGTCACCAACCAGCTGAACCTTCAGTCTTCCGAATTCGCCAGTGCCACAGGCGAAACGCTCCGTCCCCCCGTGTGCCACCGCGGCCACAGGGGCCACCACGTCCCATTTGAACAAAGCGTCGCTAATTACTGCAGAAGTCGTTTTCTTAAATAGCGGCCGCCCCGCCGAGCGCGTCGCAGGTCTCGCTGTCCAAGCACGGAACTCTTGAGCCTAATGATGGGCTTGCTGATGGGGAGCCCTGCGGGTAGCGGGGAGGATGAGGAGGCTTTCACCGCTCTCTAAATGCCTCTCGATTGCTTTTCTCACCTCTGTTCACCTATTAGAGCCTGCTAGACTTTTCATCTACCCTTATCCAACCTGTTGGGAAACAAAAAGTATTCAAATACTCCTTATCTAGCAACTAATTTAAGTACATGAGAAAACGATCTGCTTTTCTCATACCTGATGTCTCAGGATAGGCTATTTCCCAGCAAAGTTTTGTCGCTGGTAGCAGAAATGATCCCGCACACTTAGAACCAGGAAGCTGGAGCTCTTGCTCAATGTTTTATAGTTGCAAATTAGGGCGAGGCAAAAGGTGATGAATTAGAAAGAAAATGACATTATTTAAAACATGTTTGAGAATGCCATGCAAAGCATTTTGGAGATCTGCATTTTAGTAGCACGTTCTGCAATATTTGTGTAGCATCATGAATTTACCGTCGTTGGCGCTTTCCAGAATTTCCTCCATTCCAAAGGAATTCCAAAGGTGAATCCCAGCGGAGCGGGTGTCGCGGGGCGGTTTCACCGATCCCAGGACGATGCAGCCGCCTCCTCATCCCGGCCCTTCCCTTTGGGCCTTCATGTGCCAGTGACACTAAACCGAGCTGGAAACCCATGGCTTGGCAGAAGAGGGACATTTTGGACTTCTTAGCGGGAGGAAGGAGGTGACAAAGGAGCTTCACGTTCAGCTGGAGCCTCAGAAAGCAAAGTGAAATATTCCAGGTGATCTTTGAAGCGGAGGACACGTGGGGTTTTGTCTTGGCAAGGGGCCAGCACTGCTCCCAAAAATGGGGTTGCAGAGGAGCAGCGTGGCGGGAAGGACCGTTCTGCAGCCTGGCTTTCACCTGGAAGGAGATTTGGGGGTAAGAAGCAAGAGTGACGCTGAGCAAACTGGGTTCTGCTCGTGGTGGACCACAACTGAGATTTGTTTTCACCTGTTGCTGTAAAAACACCAACCAACTGTTCTTTGAATTAAGATGGATACCCGGAGGAAGATGGTGCTTGTGTTCAACTTGTGCTTTTTGCAGTTGGTCATAAGTCTGGAAAAATGACCTTTTCTGAGGCATAAATGAAAAACCAGTTGTCCCCGTTCACACATATTGAAGGGCCATTTAGTGGGGATTTGAAGCTAGGGATTAGGTGCTTTCTTCTGGGTTTTGGTGATTTGCATGATGTCAGTGCTAGCGCTGCAAGAAGGGCTAAGCTTGACCTCGCCTGCGATCAGTTAAGTAACAAGATCCATCATAAGGTAAGTGCACAAAGCAATAATATTGGCAGATAAATGTCAACACGACATCAAAAGCTTATTGCGCTGGATCTGGATTTTGTATCAGGCTGCTGCATGAAGGTCTCTATCTAAGACAGGTTTTCAGATGAGTCCCAGGTGCTCTATATTGAGCTCAAGATGTGGTGGAATGAGGTTTTGCTGGAAATTTTTGGTATTCCTAGCTTTGAGCTGGGCTTTATTATTCTAATAATAGGTAAATGCACAGGTTGCTTAAAATGGAGAGGGAGGGAAGCTTTGCAGGGTGAAATTAGTGCTGGGAAGCGTTTGGGAGGGCAGGGGCATGAGGTGCTGCCTGGTTCGCACAGGTCTCGCTTGCTGGCATGGGTTTCCTGAGCACAATGAGAGATCCAGGGGCTGTAAATTCCAGCTGAGCTGCTAGGAAGGAGGCCTCGTTTTCCCGGGTGCAGGTGGGCAGTGCTCCTTGAGGGAGCCTGGGGGTCCCTGGAAGCGCCAAAGGGAACGTCGAGGGATGCTCCAAAGGATGAAGGTGACTGGTAACGCTGGATTTGAGCCGGGTTTCCGCTCCGTGCGGGGCCGTGGCAGCTCCGTGCGCCGGGGAGGCAGCGGATGCTCCCTCACAGCTGCAGCTCCCCCCGCAAAATCCACGGATCCGGGCGGCTTTGCCTTTCCCTCTGGCTCCGTTCAGGCCTTGCCTCTTCCTCTGCGCGGCGCCACCAGAAGCACCTGCAGCAAAACGAGCCGGGCCAGCGCGAGCAGGGACGTTGCACATGGGCACGAGCCAAACCGGTGACGGCCACCTGGGTCACCCCGCGGCCCCCCAGGTGCTCCAGTTTGGG